CCGACTCAATGTGACGCAATTATTGTGGCAATATATTTTGAAACGACTCTATATTCGTGACTTGAAATTATAAACATCCCTCGTATTACTACCCGTATATGAACCAAATTATTTGTTGTAGGAAATATTTATATTTATTGTGAGGCAAGATATCGTTTTTGTTGTTACCATCTACATTCTTTACTTTGGTCCAGGAAACAAAGTCAATTTTCGATAAAAATAAAATGTAATAGGTAGGTAATACTTTATGAAACAGTACAATAAAAGTATTGAAATAAAGTATGCTCATACTCCAAAATGAGTCCTAGAGTTAACATTTTTATAATATTATAAATGGCATATAAAACGATTGGACCGTTTTCACAATCGCGAATTTTTTTTTTATTTGGTAAAATCACGGCAATAATTATTGAAAAATAGATTTTATGTTCAGGACTATTATGATCCTTCGAACTCAGTCTACTAAAAACCGGTTTATAATATAATATAATACAATATCCCCTAATAGCTAGTCGGTCGATATTTATAGTTACTTAAAGATTTCTGTAATAATTTGCACTAATTCAATCTCTAATCGGTAGGTAACAGCACCTCCTTGATTGAATCTAAATTGACATAATTTTGTTCAGAAATTCCTAGGAGACGCTGTCCTTAAGGATGAAAGGTAAAATCTCCATTCTCCGTATACAGGTCTGGTATTCATCTACAGGGTTTCTACTATTTTATAAGGACATTATTGCTATTTCTTTAAACAGTAACAAAAAGTTGTTTATATTAGAGACAAAAGTTGCGTGTATTTGTGCTCATTAAAATGGTGCCAAGAAACCTTTGATATCTAAAGGGAGATTCAAAATATCAGACAAAAAATGAAAATTTAAATTCATTAATTTAAATTTTTTTTGGTACCATTTTAATGAGCATGAAATAGCAATACTGTCCCTATAAAATAATAGGGACCCCATATACCGATATAAGCAATTTTCGTATAGAAGTATTTTTAATTTAAGTCTAAATTTATTTACGGTCAAATTTCGAGTATGTAATGATATTAAACGGCTCAACATCACATTTCTTTGTTCTTTTAAGTCTGTGCCTTGTATTGTAGTTGTGTATATGGGAGCGTGAAGAAAAAGTGTTTATATTGCTTTTTATGAATAGCAGGTTTTAATAAGTTATTATTGCTTACAGTCATAATTTTAAGGTCTGAGAAAGGATGTCTACAGCTGGGTCTAGGACAATTCGCCGTCGCCGACTCGCCGTCAGGATATTTAACATTTCATATGTTTTTATATTTATAGAACATAATATTTATTTTTTGTTATAGAAATCAAGGCATGCAATAAGCTTTTAAAATGCAATTTAAATTTCACCATAATTGATATTTATTTTTTTCTACACCCACATGGTGTAACCTTAAAACGATTTTTTTTTAAAGTACGAAGTTAATGTAGTTCGACAAGTATGATTTTGTTTTCGGTGATCTTGTCCAGAAAAAAAAACGTTTTCCTCCTTATAAACTACATGCCGCTAGCCTTTCGTCGGTGAGCACTATGGGTCGTAGGTACGATTAAATTAATATTAAAATTCAGATCAAAAGGGTACCCGGTGGCGTCACTAGATTTGAGAAGCAGAAATTTAGAAAAGATGATTGCAAGAACAATGTCTTGTAAAGTTATAAAAATTGAAAGAGAGTGAAACCTGTAAAATAATTAAATAAAATACCTTGAGTTCATATTCAATCTTTATTAATTTTCTTTGCTGGATGAGATGTTAATTATATTTTATGATTTCATTTAAATTGTCAGACATCAGCTCTTGAATATACATGTATTACCTATACAACAGGTAAGCTGGTAGAGATGTTCTACAACCCTAAAGGAGTTTATAGTCAGCCATCAAGCTATTCGAATACAGACACATTTCCCTAACTTTATATAATTATTTACAAAAATAGCATTATACTTAAAATTATAATTTCAAAAGTTTTTAGGACAGTGTGGTGTTCTTTCCGTAGATATTTTATCTGGTTTCAAACTCTCAACGAGTCTATAGAAAACAATTAAAAAAACCCCAAGTAAAATTAATGTTTAGACCATTACATAATTACGAAACATTTAATGGAATAAAAAAATATGAAATGTTGAAAAATGAACACTGAAATGAGTTTCAACAGGTGTTATAAAAAAAGGAGCGACTGATCAAACCCTAAGCATTCCAACTTCCTTACAAGAATATTATGATTTTTAATTATTACAAAATGCATTATGTATGTACAAAACATATTCTAAACATATTTTAACTAAAAAGAGTTTTATTTTTATCTAGTTATATTCAAAAACAAATGTCATTTTTAAAACTATGTTTAACACTAACCGATGAGTATACAAACAAGGTTCACAGTTTAAACTAAGTCTACATTTTAACTGCCTATTGTACAATCCGCCATATGTACAATTCAAAATTAATTGTATTTCTTTAAAATGCACTTGATTCTGTTGATCAAAATCATTCGATAAAAAAATTAAATAGTATTGGTATAAAGGTGGTTTTTATATCTATGCTATAAAGCATGCATTGGGGTAGCATGTAGATTATCTAAGTATCAGGTCAGAGAGATTAAAATTAAATAACATACGTAGTGGGATTCTCATCTTTTGAGTACGTCTCCTATCGAGACTCCTATCTTTGTTCGACAGACAGCGATTTTGATGTAATGTCTCTCTCTATTCTGTATGTAATGTGTCGAGTTGGCACAAAAGAATCGCTGTTCTGATCAGAAGAAATTAACCACATCAAAGGAAGAAAATTAGGTCCCCTGTTATTTTTAATTTATATTAATGATTGTTAATGTTGCAATAATTAATATGACATTTACCTGTTTGCCTATGATGTCCTTATCTATGTTTCTTGTAAGTTGTAAGGATTCAGATAACTAAGAGTTAATTGTCAATGAAACTCTGCAAAATCATTTGTTAAAAATCAACACAAATACCTAAAACAAAATATAAGCTGATAAGTAATAACTATATGCAGTTTGTGGACAAACAATATAAGAAATTGGAAGAAAATCTATACAGTTAGTAGAAAAATTCAAATATTTAAGGGTAATTATTCGGAAACCGATGAAATTCACAGACCATATGCAAATACTGTTATCAAAACAATTGCAGTTAAATTACATTTCCTATTTAGAATGTTATTAAAATAATTGTTATATTATTACATTATTTTTTACTAAATTTGAATATTGTGATATTAGCAAACTAGCCAAATAAATAAAATAAAAATAAAATAAAAACCGAAAACATACCTGGATCTACAATAATATATATAAATAATATAAGTACATTGCATCTTTTAAATTATTAAAGTCCATTAAATTGAAATGACACGTCAAACTTTCAAAACAAACATGCTTGTGTTCCAAACAGAAAATAGCATTTATAGAATAATTTATTTACTTGCAACCTTTCCCCACACACCACCTCGCCCCTCACCCAGAAACATGGTCAAATTGGGCTAAGCCATTTTACATTCGATGGCATAGGGAGCGATGTTGCAATTTTTCAATTTTTAGTGTCTATTCCGTCTGTACAGATGGCAGCATCTTATGGGCCCTACATTTTTAAATCTTATCACAAGAATCCTGAAATAATTAGGCAAAAATAAAAGAATGTATGTTGCGTTTTAACTTCTAAATACTATAAAAAATGATGGAAAGTCCATAACTTTTAAATATTTGTTAAATATCACTCATTAAAATATTATGCATTAAAAGTAAAACAAACCATAGACTTTCCATCATTTTTTACAGTTTTTTGAACCCATTTATGAAAACAGTTTTTTAAAATATTATCGTTCAGAGCTGTATTTCTTGTGATAAAAAAGTCGCCGTCACTTGTCATTGAACTTGGCCTTAACAGATATTTATAAGCTATTTATTTTAAAACTCTTAAACCACTTGATTTCTAGTAATCAAGTGGGTCCGTCTTTAGTTCTGATAATGGATGGTGCATATATAACTTTAATTCATGAAAAAGTTCTCCCTTATTTGAATCAGTTCCAGTAACTGCACTTTTCTTAGCTAACGTTTCATGAAAGGTCCATAATCCAAGTTTGAGAATGCTCTAGTTGTTCATTTTTGGAGGATTCCATGAATTCTTTGCATATATTATTAATGGTTTGTGCAACTGCTTCAGGGTTATTAAAATGTATTTTTTTTGAAACGTGGATCCAAAAAAGTGGAGCAAGCTAGTAATTTTACAGATTCTACAGAACCAAATCTTTTTAAAATTTCGTTTTTTGTTAATTCTACAATATTTTTTCCCTGTTCAGTTTTAGGAGAAACATTATTGAGCTGCTGTTTTAAACAATTAACTAATGGAATTATTTTACTACTGGTTATGTACTGTTCCCCTGAAATTTCCTTTGACACTGCTTCTATAGGTTTTAAAACTACTGAGATTTCCTTCAAAGCTTCAATTTCGTTGAGTCAGTAATAGGTGGTGATTTAGGTGTATTAAATAATATTGACACTAGGTATCTATATAACATAAGATACCTTTCACTCATGTAGAAGGTAGAATTCCACCTGGTAGGCACAGATTCTATAAGTTTGAGGTTGTTTTCTTGGGGTTGGGCCTTCCTTAACTCATCTGAAACTGCGACACTGTGTTTAAAATATGTGACAATTACTTTTACTTTTTTTAAAATTGCAGTAACATTTCCCACTTCTGTCATTATTTTAGTTGCTACCAAATCTAATGTGTGGGCAAAACATGGTCAATGCTTATTTTTAACAAACAGGAGTATTATAGCCTTTACCAAGTTTGCATGATTATCAGGAACTACTGCACTTATTTTGATAATGAAAGTGCCCCAAGATTCAGCTTTATGATTGAAGAAAGTTCATATACAGCTATAACTATAGTTTTCAATTTATTTTTTTCAATATAATGGCAAGTTATTCCTAAAAAGCTATTTGTATTCATTGTTTTAGTCTAAATGTCTGTAAAATGATTTATATTACTAATTTTACTTTTTAAACATCTTACAAATACATCATATTTATTATCAATTAAGGCAGTTACAGATTTTTGTCCTGGAATTGTATATAGAAACGCAGTTGTTTGAATAAAATACTTATATCCAAATTTTTCTGTTGTGTTTAGTGAGAGATTGTCTTTAGCAATCATATAAACTAGTGCATTTGTTATTTGACTTGATTTACGTCCACCATCCAAAAAACAATAAAAAAATAGATACTTTTAGTGGCGGTCTGGTTGTAAATTAATAATATACTAATGGTACTTTAAAAATACTAAAATTACCTTGAAATGATATAATTTTTGCAATGGTTTCTGTTATAAGAGGTTGTCGTACTTGTGTGTGTTCTCCAGTATAGTAATTAGATTTAGATGAACAGGGTTGAGGTTCATAATCAGAATGTACTGCCTCATCCTCCAATTCTGAATTAGACGTTGTTTCTGTTGACTCAGTTTCCATTTTCTAAAAACATAGGTTTATTTTTAGTTTATTTACTTTTGGAAAATATATATTTACATATCTATTATACTTACAGTTACGTCTATTTGTAAAGCTCTTTTCGAATGATCAGATGTTTCCGTTTTTCCAAAATCTATATCGTCGGCTTAATTCGCATAATGCGTAAACCCGATTCTTAAAACTTTTCAGAAAATGCTAAAAACTGATTTTTTTGTATTGCAATACGATCATTACAAAAAATTGATTCTACTTTGTAGTTACCACCAAAAATAATCTAGACCATTAGAGTGCACTTTGAATTTTTATATAATTGAGTTATTTTAATCAAAAATAAGGAGTTACGCTTTTTTCTTAGTCAAGAGGGGTCAATAATTTGGAGATACGCAGTTTTTTTGAGGAGTAATGAAACTAAGGTCAATAGTAGGAAAATACTTTATTCGAATAAAAAAAAGTGTAATTCTAAATTATAATGAGCAAATGAACATTTTTTTTAATACAAGGATAATTTTAATTGCTGAAGATGCTGAAACTTTTCAGGTTTTATTTTAAGCCTAGTTTTATGAAGTTGTGGAAGGTTATTAGAATTGATTGGCTCAATATTACTCATATTTAGCCGTATCGGTAAGGCTTGCCAATTTTCGGTATGACGAAGCTTAAAAAATATACCATCTTTTGAGTATTTCAGTGCTTTAAGATCATTCACTGTAGGTGCACCGACAACAGCTTTTCCTGGTCTTATTGATTTAACTGTCTGTAAGTTATCATATTTTTTAAAGAAATTGTGCATTAGATATTCTACATTATAAGAACTTTTATGACAAGCGGTTTTGCAGATGTATACGTAGTCTGCAGGAATGTTGATTTTTTTGTTTCGAATTTGTCGCTCAATATCGGAATGTACACTGTCTACTTCCATCTGCCCGTGTCCTTTTTGTAAATACTTTTGGATTACAGTTATACCAGTCTCCAAGGCAAAGTTTAACCCTCTCATGCATAATTTTAAGAAAAATTTTCTTTTTTCTTCAAAAAATTATTTTATTCCGAAACATTAAAAATTAACATTAGAAAAGGGCATATTAAATGTTAAAACAGAATTTTTTTTTCTTAATAACTAAAAAATAGTCCGTCCACTATAGTGGCCACTATGCACTTGCGGAACCGCGGAACCATCAGTTACTGGTATGAAAATATTCAAAGCAGGATGGACACAGCAGTTCGTTGCACCTCTTGCAGATGTATTTTGTTTTTCTTTGGCATACTCTAGAGTGACATCTTCTAGCATTTTTTATATCAATCAGTTGTGGCCAGTGCCCCCAATTACCTAATCTAATTTCAGGTGGTGCATGGTGATTGGGTTTCTTTTTCTTCAAAATGGGAGGTGGTGTGCCAGAAGAAGGTCTACCACGTTTATTTTCTTTCTGTGTTCCCAAATTTATTAAAGCTCTGGCGATGCTTGCTTTAAATTCAAGCAGATCTGTTTTTGGATTTCCATTTTTCTTGTACAAAATCCATGCATTTACAACAAGAACATCCACAAAATGCATAAATGTACCAGCGTTTGTTTCTTCTCCTTATAGGATACAGGGCCAATAACTGGTCCATCAGGTCTACACCTCCCATGTTTTTGTTATAAAACTGAACAGAAAATGGTCTATTCACTTCTATAAAAGTCTTAGTAGATTTACACCAGCGTTTTGTTTTATTCTGAGGTTCTATTCCAGCACAATTAGAAACAATGTAAATAGTCTTATTGTCTAGCCATTTGGAAACAATTATATTGCCATCTTCAGTACTTGCAACGGATGAAGTTCCTCTACCCTCTTGTTTCATTTGTTTATCAGTTTTCATAACAGAATTACAATTTTGTAGTCGATTCATTCGGAGAGTTCCTGTTGCCCATATACATCTTTTATGTAATTCTTCAATAAGCGGAAGTGAACAAAATAAATTATCAAAAAATACTTTATGATTGATTCTCTCTAAGTCCTCAGTAAGACGTAAAACTACGTCAGCGCACGCTCCAAGTTTACTAATTTGACTTCTATCTCCCGAAGCTCCTTGGTAAACCTCAAAACGATACATATATCCACTAATTCCAGCTCTTACCCAAACTTTGACACCCCACTTTTTAGGTTTTTTTGGCAAGTATTGCTTTATACCTAATTTTCCTTTTAGTGGAATAATTTGCTCATCAACTGATTGGTATTCCTTTGGATCTGTGGCAGCTAAAAAGTTTTTTTGAATTTTATCCAAAAATGGTCGGATTTTTCGCAGTTTGTCCGTATTATTTTGATTTAGATTATCATTATTTACGAAATGTAAAAATCTCAAAATAGATTCAAATCTATTAACAGGCATAGCATCTGCAATCAAGTCCATTCTCAGGCCATTATCACTTGACCAGTAAAGCCGTATTCTGGGATATCTGATGTATGCCATTACTAAATGTATGCCCAAGAAAGCATATAATTCATATTTTGTGAAACCAAAATTTAATTTATTGTTTTGGCCAGCATATAGATTGGTCTGAAAGAGTATGTCATCCATTATGTCTGCGGTGAACAATGATAAAAAATAATCAATGGGATTGGTTCCTTGAACATGAATATTTTCTGTTCCCCGAAACTGTGGCAAAGTTGCTGGCCCATACATGCTGTCATTATTGCACCATTTCCAGTCTTTTTTCTCAGTCTTTTTTGGTCTTGTCTTTTTGTTTTTACGTTTCAATGAAAGTGCCAAAATACGCTGAGCTAATGGAATATCATCTTCACTGATATCGTCGTCACTGTTTTCTGGCTGTATTTCTTCTAAGTCACTTTCAACAATTTCGTCTTCAGCGGTTGCATGTCCGAGCAAATACGTCTCTTCGTCGTTGTAATCGGATTCCAAATCTGATCCATCAGGTAAATCGTAAATAATGTCATCATTGTGAATACCTATGAATTCTTCCTCATTTTCTGGTAAACATAAAGGTGTTCCATCCCTATTGTCGTCTTCATCGGCAAAAAGAACTTTCTGAAATAAAATAAAATTTCCCATAGAAGAAGGACTACCTATTACGTCAAAAAATAAAATTTATATTCATCCTATGGTCACCAAAATAATATAGGTAGGTAAGCAATAAATGCCTAAATAAATAGTAAACCTTTGACAAGACAATAACAAAAAATATGTGAACAAGAAACCCACTAACCCGCTAAAAATTATAATGACAAACCATGCCACAAGAGTGGAATTCTAAGTTATATATTGCATGATGTCCACTCAAGTGGACATGACTTCAAGATGGTATTTTCAGTCATTTTTTCAATTATTTTGAAATTATAACAAAGCCGAAATGTGTAAAATACATAATTCTATATAAAAAATATTTTTATTACCTTTTTTTTGCTTTTCCATAGAAACTACTGACACTTATTTCACGAAGTTCACGGGAGGCCATCGCGATCAGGTGATGTATGCACACTAACATAAACAAACGTTTATTTATAAAATAATATTGTAGATGGCGGTAGTGGTTACTTTATTAGAGTCCACTCAAAGGGATTTTGCACAAGTTTCATGAAATAAAATATACTTTTAGGAGTTAGAAGAACCTGTCCACTAGAGTGGACTCAATGCATGAGAGGGTTAATAAACCATTTGATAGGGTACAGTTTCGATTTTGGTAACCGCAACCATCACTCCATAATATAATTTGGATTTCCTTAGTGCTTCTTTCTTTTAAATTATTCATTACGACATGCTGCTTCAAGAAATGAACAATAATACTGGTAAACTCGTTACTTGTTAACCCACCTTCAGACTCATTCCATAAGTAGCAGAATCCTTTTTGGCATTTAATATCATAAACTGTGAAATTATGCACAATCAATTTTGTTTTATAGTAGAGTGATGATTCGTTTGATTTCGGGCAAAGTAAAACCGATTGGAGATCCATCCCAGTCAACATTGTAACGTAACTGATACATAAAAAGTTTCAATCGTTAGGTATCTCGTTATGTAGCTCATACCGTACAAGTAACCTACAAGTAACATGAAACGCCTAGCACAGGTACGTAACATGGTTACATATCAACACATGAAGGTTATGTAACATATACGTTACAGAAAAACTCCTCATGTTATATAACTGTTACTTATAAGTAACATGAGTAACTTTATGAAATATTCATATTATATAAGTAAATAAATAAAATATCATATTATGTCTTTATTTGCTACATATATATATAATACTGTTATGTAACTGTTATGTATAAGTAGCATAAATATAATTTATTTTAATTTAAAATATTATTTTTCCCTTGACATCCGCAGTTTGCTTAGTCTAAGCCATTCCCCAACTAAAAGTTCGATCTCACTTTCGCTGCTGGCATTAAAATTGTGACGAACAGCAGCTAAAAATTAGAAAAATAAGATTATATCATACTTACAAATTTAACTATAATTTTTTTTGACTTGGTTTAAAATTTCTTACAAAATTAGCAAGATTTATAAAACAAAATGTCAAATACTGGTCGTTCAAGGTATACTTACTTATTATCACCTCCATCAGTTTTAGATCTTTGAAACTCCTAGAGAATTTTTCAATAGTTTTGTCAAAATTCTGGATACCATTTCTTTTGTGTTTCTTCCTCCTATATTTTTTAAGTAATTAGTCTGAAAACGTAATTTTTTTATAAAAAATGTGAATAAAATGAAAGATTTATATCACAAATGACCTATATACTTACAAATCTTTCTCTTAAATCTTTATCGTCATTTATAGATGTGTCTAGTTCTGTTATACCCTGCGTAGATACCAAAGGTAACTTTCCCATTATAACATCGATATTCATATCCAGATTGTTGTCCAATGTTTCAGCTTTTGAGAGCCTTTCTTCGATACCTTTTACGTATATTAAAATTTTTTTAGCCTTTATGGTTAATTTATCAATTTTTTTCTAAAAAGAAAAATATATCATGTTTGTTTCATAAAAAATCCTTGTGAACCATTAAATCATTTGAAATTAAACTTATGTAATTAGTAAAGTTGGAAGGCAAATATAAAGCAGGTACCTTCAATTAATTCTATTGTCTCAGGGTCAGAAATACCAGCCACTAGAGTATTTTCTTCAATCTGATTTTCTTCAATCTGATTTTATTCAATCTGATTTTCTTCACTCTGATGATTTTCTTCAATCTGATTTTCTTCAGATCTACTACTAGATGATAAATTGTCTGACTTGGATTCCCTACCTAAAAGAAAGAAAAACATAATTGTGACTAAAATTCACAATATGTAACTGGAGTTGTACAATATCTATAATTTTTTGGGTATTAAAAAAAATAAATAAAATGTATCAGACACATGAAGGAGCATAAAGATGAAGAGAAGAAGAAAGATAAAATATATTTACTCATGTTTTCCTTGGCAGAGTTTCCAAAAATATTGATTGTAGCAGTTTCTCTGCGAACTTTGGATGGCAAGGACGGTGGTGGAGTTCTTTCTGAAATGAAAATAAGATTATAAAAGCTGCAAACCTCTGAAACAAGTTTTTATAGCAATTAAAATAACATACCTTTATATGCAATAATTTCTTCATCCGATTCATCAGTATCGCTTTGTATCTTCAACGACCTCTTTTTTTTTTTCTTAACCCTTTACCCATATCGCCGCCATCATCAGAACTACAATCTGAATCTGTAGCTTTTTTTCTAGCCGCATCTAGGGAAGCTGTAATACGAGGCACGTCCAGAAAGTAAGTTCCGTTTGGTAATAAAATTAAATTGTGTACAGATACAGAAAAATTATTTATTGCACAAAATTCTACAACTCTTAAACTACTTTTCCACATAACTGCCGAAATTTTGCAGGCATTTGTCATAGCGTGGCACAAGTTTTTGTATACCTTCTTCATAGAAGTTTGCCGCCTGTGTCTTCAACCAGTTGGAAACAGTCTCTTTCAGCTCGTCGTCATGGTTGAAGTGTTGACCGCCAAGGAAAGA